AATTTTTATTTGATTTTAACTGATTTGAGTGAATTAAGGATACTCAATAATCTTAATTAGTTTAAATCCATTAATTCGTGTTATTTATTAATTATCTACAATAAATTCAAATTAAATTAACACCACAATTTTAGTTTATTACTTGTTTTCATTAAAAAAATGTTTTTTTTTTCATTTTTCTTTTATCTCTTTATTTTATTTAAACAACAGTTTTTTAAAAAAAAATTATTTGTTAGAACCTGAAATTTTTCATGTTATAACTTGAAAGTCTAAATCTACTACTTAACTTGAAAATATTACTATAATATATGACATATATAAAATTTACACATAATATTATTAGTTTTTATGATCTGAACCAAATTTCGAGCACTTCGATTAATTTTACATAATATTTGTCAAAATGTCATCTCCCACCAGCAACAGATATCTGGTAATTCTATTCACGTGAACATGTGAAAATGGTCCATTCTGAAAGAAACAATCTCAGCCAAGAGATATTTGACAGCCACATGGCAAAACAAAGGCCTCATTCTTTCACTATTAAAAAATCACAAAGGAAATCCAAATCCAAAATACATTAACCAATCAGCTTCTGCTTAGGTGTACATTTTTTGATCCTCAAAATCCATGTATTTTCATATAAAAACCTTCATTCCCAAGCTTATTTAATATATAGTACATTTCTTCATATTGCAAAATTAGCATCATCTCAAAGAAGAGAAAAAAGAGAGGATAAAAATGGCTACTTCTGCAATTCAACAATCTGCATTTGCTGGCCAAACAGCACTAAAGTCACAAAATGAATTTATTAGGACAATTGGTAGCTTCGAAGGTGGACGTGTCACCATGAGACGTACTGTCAAAAGTGCACCACAAAGCATATGGTAATTTCTTAATTTATCATATACTATATTTTTAGTTATTTAGTCATATTATTGTTAATTTTCAATGAATTATTCTTTGTTCATTTAGTCATGTTATTATTTCCATTTTAAAAAAATGAATACAATGCAAAATCTTGAAATAATCATGTCAAATACTCCTTCCATCCCATTTTATGTGATGTACTTTGATTTGGCACGAAATTTAAGAAATAAAGGAAGACTTGTAAAATTTGTGGTCTAAAATGAATGATAGAAATTTGTGTGGCTATAAATCATTTCATTAAGGGTAAAATTGATTTTTAAAGTTAAATTATTACTTAGTATAGAAATGTGTCATTCTTTTTTGGACTGACTAAAAATGAAAATAAGTCATATAAATAGAAACAGGGGGATTACTATTTTGTGACATAGAAATGTCTTTAGTGTTGATTATATATAAAGGCAGTCTGGTGTACTAAATTGCTAGTACTATCCTAATAAAGGGTTAGACCACATTAGGTCTATCGTACACAATTTTACGACTACTTTCATGACGTAAATTCTTGACCTCCTAATTACATGATGATAAGACAGCTAATTTTATTGTTGCGCCAAGATTCTCATACACCAATTATTTAGATGCACTAAAATTCAAGAAAGAAAAATTGTAATTTGGTAACTAAAGAGTTTGATGATATGGACGTGACTAAAATTTGTGATTTGATGAAATAGGTATGGAGAAGACAGGCCAAAGTACTTGGGACCATTTTCTGAGCAAACACCTTCATACTTGACTGGTGAGTTCCCTGGTGACTACGGATGGGACACTGCTGGACTCTCAGCTGACCCTGAGACATTTGCTAGGAACCGTGAGCTTGAGGTGATCCATTGTCGTTGGGCCATGCTTGGTGCTTTGGGATGTGTTTTCCCTGAAATTTTGTCTAAGAATGGTGTTACATTCGGTGAAGCTGTTTGGTTCAAGGCTGGATCTCAAATTTTCTCCGAAGGCGGTCTTGACTACCTTGGTAACCCAAACCTTATCCATGCTCAGAGCATTCTTGCCATTTGGGCATCTCAAGTTGTGTTAATGGGCTTTGTGGAAGGATACAGAGTTGGTGGAGGCCCATTAGGTGAAGGCCTCGACAAGATCTACCCGGGGGGTGCCTTTGACCCTCTTGGCCTTGCTGATGATCCCGAGGCATTTGCTGAGTTGAAGGTCAAGGAAATCAAGAATGGGCGATTGGCTATGTTCTCGATGTTTGGTTTCTTTGTTCAAGCTATTGTTACTGGAAAGGGTCCAATTGAGAACCTTTCCGACCACATTGCTGATCCAGTTGCCAACAATGCTTGGGCTTACGCCACAAACTTTGTACCCGGAAAATGAATTTAGTACTCTCTTATCTGTAAAAATTGTGGGGCTACTGCATGTCTTTTATGTACTATGAACTTGCTATAATGTTTATATGCAAAAGCCAAGATTACATATTCTTCAAAACTAATTACTCCGCTCGTTTCAATTTGTTTGTCATACTTAACTTTCCTTTTTAGTTTGTTTCAGAAAGAATGTTTTTCCTTTTTTTGGCAACCACTTTAGTTCCAACTTTACATATGGCATGTTAATAACCACAAGATTAAACGACAGTTTGGTGCATTCTACATATCTTTAATTTAAGACCACAAGATTCAGAAGTCTTCTTTACGATCTAAACTTCGTGTCATATCAAAACCAGACAAACAAATTGAAACGGAGGAAATATTGATTGGATTATAAAATCTACATTGCTTGTGAAGAAATCAGTGATGAGTTCATTAGTTATGACTTGAAACAGAACAAGTTTCTTTGTTAATTCAGAAACATATGATATCTGGTGTCTACCAGAAAAGAATAGGAGTTAGACTTCCATAGGATATCAACGTGAACGAGTTTAAGTTCTATGCACTCTCAATACAAAAAAGTATTTACAAAATCGTGTTACTTATAAGGTAATTTAATTGTAAATCTCCATGATAAGCATTACTAGAAACCTGGCAGAAATGGTAACGAACTTGCTATAACAGGTTAAACTACACTGATATGATCGTGTATAAAAAGTATCGCATGTCTACTATAGATGGAGAGAAGTATCAACCTCAGAATTTTCATATTTACATTTAGGTGTCAACGCCCGCCACAAAGGTTGAGTCTTTCTGACTTGGTAGCCTGTGTGCTTGTTATTCAAACTAAGTTCAAGAAAGAACTTATCTTGATCAGAATCAAACATTTCTGATCGAAAAATTAGTTCGTGTGTGAATTCTGGCTTGACAGAAGCATGATTATTGATTTGTGTCATCACTTGAGGATGTGAGAACAAATTTTGTGTTCTGTTTTCTCTCTGCACTTTTGCTTTTTCCAATTGTCTGAATCTTTCTTGCAGCAGTACAATTGAAGGACCTGCAATAGTAGGATCGTTGTTCGGCCTTCCCATGATGGAGTAGGAGCTTGTTTTAGGGGCGGAATTGAACCAAGCAAATTAGTTCATGCCACGACGAAGAAGTGAGGTCTTTTTTTTTTTGCTTGTTACGACTTGTGAGGGCTTGAAATGTGCATATATAGGAAGAAAATGGCTAGTTTTTTGACATTTTGTTTATTGAATTTTCATACATGATGTAGAAAGGGAGCCGAACGGGCGACTAAGAAACAATGTCCAAAGAAGAAAATGTTAGAATTCATATGGTGATTTTTTTTGCAGAGAAAAATGGTAAGGGGAAGTGTCCAAATGGTGGAGTGTAGCATTTGGAAGGTTGTGTTTGTATGAATCAAGGGTTTGGTATGTTATGTCGGCTAATTATGTTCGTTGGTTTTTCTTATACTGACAGTGTAAATAATTTTTATACTATCGATGTAATAGCAGTAACCGGGATGTTACATGCCTTTTTTGTTAAAGAACATGAAATTGACAAAAAAAAATTGAAGGCAAATAACATCCTTCTAGGGGATCAGAGAAAATTGAAGATTTTGAGATCTCATGTTTTTTTCTACAGTGTAGACACGACAATGTGGTGGACATATTGATGAATACATCAACAACAACTACGTCTCAGTCTTAAACAAGTTGCAGTCAGCTATATGAATCTTCACTGGTAGTGTTTCTCCATCAACGATCTTACGTAATCGAGTGGACATTTGGATGAATAGTGATCAAAATTTGGGGTCTATGGACTTAATAATGTTGATGTGCATAATTTAACTTTGTCAATTAGTTTTAGAATGTAGGGATTTTACAACAACTACGTCTCAGTCTCAAATTTTCACTCAGGGGAGTCAAAGTACGCAGAAGTAAACACACTAAGAAGCCAAGGGGATTCAATTCAACATATAGCATATATACATAATCAGTCTTTTGACAAAGCAAAAACATGCTTCAAGTAACAACTCGAAAACTATATATGATCTGCAAAGTCTATGATATACTGCTCGTGCACGTGAAGAACTTAGATGTAAGGTGATTTCCAGTGACCTACACGATAACTTTGAAAAGTTCACATCACGATTCTGTAACCGTTATCGACTAATGAACATACACTTTGATGTTTTGCAACTTGCAGAAGAATAGCAAGCTAAAATTGTGTCTGCTAGAAGTTAAAAACAAAAAAACTATCTTTATGGCATCTCAACCATGACTTTTGAGGAACCAACTTCTGCTGAAACCACTCCTTTTACAGGCTATGATTTTCCGATAAGTGTACTCTAAATGTTCAACGTTGATATCAAACACGGAACGATTTAATCACAAGGTCACAGTCTTTAAACATATATCACTGAAATAAGCACCTTCTGTTGTATGTTACACAACTATTTCAAAAGACAAAGAAACAAAGTACTAAGCTTTTCAATAAAGGTTTGTAATAAGTTTGATGATCTGGATACAGAGTCGCCTTTGTTAAGGAGCGTTTTTACCCTACTACCTGATGCGAATCCAGATGTAGTCGGGCCCCAATGTGTGTACCATACACTGAGAGGGAACCCCAAAACAAGTTTGATGATCTAATTCTATACATTTTCAAATGGATCTCTTAACAAATATATAGGGTTTAGACCAAAGTTACTGTGTTCTACCGAACCCCTACTTCCCATCCTAGCTCCGCCTCTGATTGTTTTAGATGATCTAATTTTGTAAAAGATCATGAGGTGGAATATCAACCCAATTAAGACAACCAACATGAACAAATGTTTGAAACAAATTAGGCATCCCTTGAAACCTTAAAGTCCTAAAGACACAATTTTTAGGATCATATGAAACAAGATTTCCACCTTTGTACTCCAACAAGATCTCTCCATTCTTCAACAAACATAAAACTTTCACCAATGGTTTCACATGTTGTGTTACACAATTTGGATTTGGTGTATAAGCCCCAATTCTAAACTCTTTCATCCAAGATTCTTTCACATTATATTCTCTCATTACCCAAATTTCAAATCCTCCCCCTTTATAGTGAGGCAAAGTTAGACCAACAGCAAGACAATCACCAAGAACTACTAAATGATACTGAACAATTCTTGGCTTAACATCAAAATCAACTTTTGGTACTTCACCAAACACGTCGTCAGCCAAATCAAACGAAACAATAAGCTTATCACGACGTCCATGATACTTACCAAATCGAGTCAACCAATGCATCTTCCCGTTCAACAGAATTCCTTGAGAACTTGGATCAAAACGATATACAACTTCTCCAACACTCCTCCATCTGTTGTTAGTACCAAGACTAAGTACTTGAACATCTGATTTACCAAAGAAAGGGACTCGAAACCTACGATAACGTCCAGGTTCATTATAATACATGTTGGCATAGTTTATGATCTTGATCACTTTATACTCTTTAGTAACAGGATGAAATCCAAAACCAAAAACCAATTTTTGTACCTCGAATTCGATTGATCTAGGGAGTTGTTTGTAATCCCTTGTAAAAGGATTGTACACATAAAGTGCATCACTAAACAAAGAATCACATATGCATAATAGTCCTTGACATGAACCAACTACTTTAAATTCAGGCACATAGTTTGCAAAAGGTGTCCTGATTTTCCTCATAACATCGCGATGATTGGAGAATTCAAGAAAGTAGAGTTGATTCCTCAAAGGGTAATCCGCGTGTATAATAATGCAAGGATCGGTCTCAACTACGCGATTCTTGTGCATATTCACAAGGTCTATGTCATGTAACATGTTGTAAAATGATTTGCAAGACAATGTGAATTGGACTAAAGATGTTATGGGAAGCCTTGAGGCTATGTCAAGGACAATTTCTTGAGGTAGTGAATTAAATCCATGTATAGGATGAGTTTGATCATAGTGAAATTTGTGTTTCTTGATTTGTCTATCCATAAAACAGAGAAAATTAGGCAAACAAAGATAAGTAGAAGGAATTTGGAAATGGAGGAAATTAAAATGTTTGACAAAAAAGACTATAGTAGGTGTTGAGTTTTATGGACTCTTCTTGTTTTGGAAACAAAGTTGTATAGCATATTCTTTGGATAGCTAAAGCATATTCTTGCTCATGTTTAGTCTCAGAGTGAGTTTGTGCACCACGACTAATTTCGCATGATATATGTCACATCGCAACAATACAAGTATCAGATAACTCTTTTCATCAAGGCTAAAATAGATCGGAAGAAATTAACTAGTATTTTCATCTGAACCTAGAGGCTTCACGATTTTTAACTCAGTTCATTGACCATCATGTCGCATCCTTGAATAGATTTACTATCATTTAGGGGTATTGTGTACCCTCGTAATTTGTTGTATTAAACTCAAAGATGAAACTAGAAGATTAGGTATGGGGTCAGTCGATTAAAATATACTTAAATTAAATTCAGAATCTGAGTTTTAACATCTGATGTTATTATCCTAGAATGCATAAAGTTCAAATTTTGGTTTCGACAATAAAACTAGTAAAAGGAATATAATTCAGGGGGATTTTAATATATTTTCCTTTTAAAGTAGTCTTTAAAAAAATAAGAATTTTGTAAAGCAAACTTATATATAATCTTTGGATTATCGTAACACGGCATCAGAATATTTCTTTATATATAATTAATAGTGTAATTTGAACGTAATTACATAGTTTGACTTGTTTAAGTTTAAATTAAAGTGAGCTAATAACATTAATTAAAATATTTTCATATCCTTATCCTTTTGCTTCTTCCTTCATACCCCACCCTTTTCTTCTTGATCATCAATTCTTTTGTTTTTTATTGTACATAAAAAAAAAAGTTAAAATTTATGTTTTATATATATATATATATATAAACATTTTTTCCATTTAATTATATTTCAAAATAAATTAGACTTTTAGGATTTACAGCGACAACAATAACAAACTCAATATAATTTCAAATGTGAAACCTACGGAAGATAAAGTGTATGTAGACATTACTTTGAACTTGAGGAGATAGAGAGTTGATTTTCACTTCAAATATGATTAGGGAATTAGATTTCTCGTAAGTATAAATTATTTTTTCATGCAACTACGAATAGTTTAACTCATCACTATCTCGTAAGGATGTTCGAGAATCATTTTTGCTTCTTTTTAGTTTTGCAAAAAATTTATGCAACTTATGATTTTTCACTATTTTGGAGTACTGTTCAAGTCATCAATGAAATTTTCATTTTGTACCCTTAATGTGTACACTCATTTTTAAATTTGTATCTTATCGTGTGAGTATTAATTCTATCGCAAAATTATAAAGAAACTCTTTTTATGGGGGTCAAAATATATATTAAAAAAAATCATGCAATACATTAATAGTTATATGATTAAATAATTATAGAAATCATGCAATACTTCCAAAAATCAAACGAATTATATAATTATTCTATTTTTAATAGTTCAGGAGAACAATTGACCTTACAAAATTCGCGATTAATGTTTTTTCATCCAAGGAAACTGAAGAACTAGTTGGCCTTGAAGATTGAGAAACAATCCATCATTTTTTACATGCCATTCACATGTAACATTCGCGCACCTCTTAGAGTCTCTATCGCGATCATATAAAAAATACGTTCCATTTAATCCTAAGGGACGACAAGTCAAGTTACAATTTGCGTAAGAGCTCAATGGAAAATCATAGGTATGTCTGGCTTTAATTCCGATACGTCCACCATCAGCGTTATCGACGATACAAGTTGTGTCTAAAGTAGCTCTCAATTCATTACTAATGGATACATTGAATGAATGTACTAATAAACATGAATTTGCAATGAAAACAAGGAAAAATATTGGCAAATTTGAATATAAAGACTTCATTTTTTTTTTCTATTTTTGCTAAGGTTGTGGCCTTTGTGAATGAAGCATCAACCTTTATATAGTAATTGTTGGGTTGGTGGGGTGGGGTGGGGGGTGGGGGAGATGAACTATATTTGGAATTTCTTTAATTAATTTTGGTCAAAAGAATTAATCATATTTTTATTAACCTTAAATATGGAAGGAAGAATCATATTTTAGATTTTCACTGATTAATTTTGGTCAAAAGAATTAATCACATTTTTATTAGCCTTAGATATATATATATTCTACATTGAATGATTTTTTGAGGCATTTTTCATTGTGCAAATTGCAAAGTGGTTGAATTGTTCAAAGTTCAAGATGGATGTTTGAAATTTTTTCTATATTTGCTCTTTCCCTTAATGAAGTTTGATATTTTTTAGGAGATACTCCCTCCATTCTTATTTATATGTCGTCCTTACTAAAAATATATGGTTCTAATTAATATTTTTCATTTCACAAAATCAAAGCATAAAAGACATTATTCTTCCTATTTTACCCTTTGAAAGTCATTAGCCTTGAAAGTATATATTTGACCAACATAGAAAAACTAAATGATTAATTCATGTTCATTGGTCAATTTAATTAATCAAAATATGTTAATTCATGTTCATTTATCGGTAAACTTACCTAGTTTCTTAAGGGAGGTGAATCTAAAATAATGGTACAATGATAAACTTTCTAGTTTCTTAAGGGGCGTGAATCTAAAATTGTGACATATAAATAGGAACAGAGGGAGTAAATTGAACTACTTATAAAGTTATATTTATGATTTATAAAGGATAATAATGGAAAATATGATTTAAATTATGTCCTTAAATGTTTTTCTTAATAGAATGTTGGTCAAAAGAATTAATCACATTTTTATTAGCCTTAGATATATATTCCACATTAAATGATTTTTTGAGGCATTTTTCATTGTGCAAATTGCAAAGCGGTTGAATTGTTCAAAGTTTAAGATGAATGTTTGAATTTTTTTCCATATTTGCTCTTTCCTTTAATTAAGTTTGATAGTTTTTAGGAGATACTCCATATGTTCCTATTTATTGTCGTCTTTACTAAAATTAGATGATTAATAATATTTGTCATTTCACAAAATCAAAGCATAAAAGGCATTATTCTTACTATTTTACCCTTTGAAAGTTATTAAGCTTGAAAGTATATATATTTGACCAACATAGAAAAACTAAATGATTAATTGATGTTCATTGGTCAATTTAATTAATCAAAATAAATTAATTCATGTTCATTTATTGAAAACTTGACTTCAAGAGAATAGTAAATAATAGTACAATGATAAACTTACCTAATTTCTTAAGGGACGTGAATTTAAAATGATGATATATAAATAGGAATGAAGGGAGTAAATTGGACTACTTATAAAGTTACATTTATGATTTATAAAGGATAATAATGAAAAATATGATTCAAATTATGTCCTTAACTGTTATTTTTCTTAATAGGTGTACATTGCCTCACAAATTTAATTAATATAGAATAGGGGGATTATTGATCATGTTAAACTTTTATTGAATACATTATACGCTCTACATTCTTCGAATCACACTTTGTTGAACTATACTAAGTATGTTATTATTATTGCAGTCTAAGTAAATATTGGCAAGAAACTCTCTCCGTTCATTTGTACTTGTCAAATATTTTCTAATTTAATTTTGTGTTTACTTGTCATTTTTGACAAATCAAGAAAGTATAATTTTTTTCTCCTATTATATCCTCAATTTATTTACATTGAGTTAATATATTTGAAAAATGTAGTGACTAAATATGTTTTAAATCCTTTAATAATTAATAAGAGTAAAATGGTTAACTCACTATTTTTATCATTATTGTCTTAATAAGTGTGCGATAGACCATGAGTAAGCACTTTTGACAGCAAGAGACGAGTCCTCCTCCTCACAAGGACCGACTCCTTTAGGTGCGAGGTGCAATGAACCGCAAAAAATCAGTAATAAAGAATCCAAAGAGGAACTCAAAAGTCTTGTTCACAACTAACATAATAAGCACTATATGCATGCATCTTGTAAAACTAGAAGAAAACTTAGGAGAAAGGAGATGTTATGAATTGATACAAAGAAACTTATAAATTGATGCATAACTTGTTTACTAACTATAAATATCCAAGCCTCCTACTTCTTTTGTATACCTAATTTTTTGTATTTGTATGTGTAATGGATACACAAACCAAAAATCAGAAATGTCAGTCTGATAAAGCATCTCCCTCAACATATGGATTTGATCTTCTGCCTCAAGAAATTGTCCTTGACATAGCTTCTAGGCTTCCCATAATATCATTACTTCAATTCATCATTGTTCGCAAATCATTTTACAACTTGTCTCATGATCCAGAGCTATTGAATGATCCTTGCATTATTATTAACTCAGGTGCTCAGCTTCACTTTCTTGAATTATCTGATCGCGGTATTATGGGAGAAGAAGATGTTGTGAGGGAAATTAGCACCCCTTTTGTATGCTCTGTGAAAGAGTTTCATATAGTTGGTTCATGTCATGGATTATTATGCATACGTGATATTTTCTCTTCTGATTTTCTCTATGTTTTCAATCCTTTTACAAGGGATTACCTAAAGCTGCCTATGTCATTAGCAACTTACATGCCACGAGTAGTTTTTGGGTTTGGTTTTCATCCTGTTACCAAAGAGTACAAGTTGATCAAGATCAGGAGCCCTTATCCCGATCCAGGTTTGAATTCAAATGTTGAAGTACTAATTCTTGGTAGCAATAGATGGAGAGGTGTTGCAGAAATTCCTTATGAGATTCATCAGAGTAGTCAAGGAATTATATTTAACGGGAAGATGCACTGGTTAGCTAGTTTAAGAGATTATAATGGACCTCTTGTTAGACATATCGTTTCGTTTGATTTGGCTGATGAGGTATTTGGTGAAGTACCACAGGTTTGATTTTGGTATTGACTTAAGAACTATTCATATGCTTCAACTAGCAGTTGTTGGAGGTTGTCTTGGTGTTGTTCTAATATGGTTTAACAAGGGGGGAGGATCGGATTAGAAATTTGGGTTATGAAAGAATACAATGTGAAAGAGTCTTGGATCAAGGAGTTTACAATTGGAAGTTATATTCCAAATCCAAATTCTGTAACACGACCTTTGCTACCGATGAAATATCTATGCTTGTTGAAGAATGGAGAGCTCTTGGTTAAGTACAGAGGTGGCAATCTTGTTTCATATGATCCTAAAAATTGTGTCTTTAGGACTCTAAGGTTTAAGGGGATGCCTAATTCTTTTCAGACAATTGTTCATGTTGGCTGCCTTAATTGGGTTGATATCCCTAACCCTGAATATCTTTAGCAAAATCAAATCATACTGAACATGACAAGAATTTGAGGGGAAAAACTCAAATATGTTATCGGACTTACAAAAATAACTTCTCCAATCATAGATGGACATATTTATGTCATCGTCGTGACCAGAAGTACACATTTTGTACCATTCTTAAGTTAAGCATATCTATCACCTAATACTCAAAAGAGCAATTAAAAAGTTCTAACAGCAACTTGTGTCGTGATCCTAACCTTGTGAATTTGCACCTGTCTCGTGCAGTAAAGACCGATCCTTGCATTATTTTTTGTGCAAATTATCAGTTTTACTTTCTTGAATTCTTTGATCATGGTGTGGAAGATGTTGTGAGGAACGTCAACACAGAATTTGAGTTTGTTGGTTCAAGTCATGGATTATTGTGCATTAGTGATTCTTTTTATTATGATATACTTTATGCGTACAATCCTTTTACAATGGACTGGGGAGAGCTGTCTCAATCAGTAGAATTTTGGGGCCATGGTATTTTTGTTTTAGTCCTACTACCAATGAGTACAAGGTGATCGTTATCATCAGACATCGATCCCCCAAAATTCACTATAAATATGAGAGTACAAAATATAAAAAGAAATAACTTCAACCAATTCACTTGGAACACAAGGAGGTTCACAAAATTCTCCCCCACAACCAAAACTCTCGAAGTCCTTAAGACTACATTGTATTTCAAATGTTGAAGTATTTACTCTTGGTAGCAGTAGATGGAGAAGTGTTGCAGAATTCAATATGATGAGATTCATCTACGTACGGAAGGAATTATGTTGAACGGGAAGATGCATTGGTTGGCTCGTTTAAGAGATTAATTATAATATTGGACCTCCCGTTGGGCATATCGTTTCGTTTGATTTGGCTGATGAGGAAATTATAAGATTATAATCCACGTACTGATTTGGCATATAGTAAATATATAGGAGTAGTAAAAATAGTTATTAATGCATGTATTATGATAGAAGATTATCTACACTATACAATTGAGATGCAACCCTTTTCAAAGTTCTATGTAAATACAGAATCATATTTTGTGCATCGATCGCGCCACCCTTTAATATTTTAGAGGAGGTTTGATGAATAAATAAGATTATTCAAGTTGCATTACTTTCTGTCCCAATCCTTCTTTTTGATGTCCTTTAGCCTTATCTATTATTCCAAATATATAATGAAATTTTAGTGAATCTTGAGTCACATCTTACCAATCTTAAGATATCTAGGTCATTTATTCTAACAAATCGAACTTATTAAGTTCATAAAATATCTCTATAGCATTATTTATCGAGTGTTTCTACATAAATTAGTTCATATTTGAAAAAAATATTTAAAATTTAATTGAAATAAAGATATTTGAAAATTAAAATTATGTTTAACATGAAAACACAAATGGGGTTATTATTTATGAGTTTAAGTTTTCTCTGCATTATAATATGATAAAAAAGTATGTATACTATCACTTTATCTGGTCACCTAGAATAGAATTAGAGGTAATTATTTATCATCCAGAGTAATAAGTACGTAAGATCAATTATAACATGAACATAAAGATACTGATTGTATTGCCATAAATCATCTCATTATTAATAAAATAAGAAGATCAACGATAAATTGATTCTATGAACATAGTTGATGCTACTATTATATATCATTTCATAAAAAAAAGTTGATATACCTCTTAACTTTGTGATTTAGAGCAAATATTCTGTTTGGACAAACTAAAAAAGATATTGCAATATGCAGAAGGTTTTTTTTTTTTTTTGTAGATATCTAGAAGGTTAATTAGCTAGATTTGCATTTGTTGTCCTTGGTGAGACACGTACATTTGCTATTAAATAGAAATAAAATAGTGATGGGGCTATGATGTGATCTTGTGCCATAAGGTCATGTCCCAAAATGTGGAAGCGGTGAAATGATTGAAATTTCTTCATTCTAAGTAGAGATTTTGAGTTTGAACTCTTGAAAAAAGAAAATATTATGTTTGGAAGCACTATCCCTAAAAATAAACCTTATAATATGTGAATTCGAATTTAATCGAATTTCAATACAAATATCAAACAAGTATATATATGTTGACTACTATATGACAAGGTAGTCTGGTAAATGGGGTCACTACAAAAACAAAAATATTACTACTTCTTGAAAAATAGGTTACATATTATATTCCACTAATCCAAATAATTTTACCCCTAATTTTGTATCTTTAATTAGGTAAAGCACTAAACCAAGATAAAATTTTGCTTAGGGTCTTAGTATATGGTTGGTCCTAACTCTTGCCTAATTTCCCCTACTCCATGGTTCCTCTAGTTTGGATGCTTTCTTAGTGAAGGGGAAAAAACAAACGTCTATAACTCTAAAATGGATTTAACAATTAATATACTCCTACGTGTAGAAATGTATAGAAAGTATAAATGTGTTTATTTGGTACTATTTGTTTTGATGGTATTCGTATTGGAATCCAACTTATACTTAAAGTTAAACCACGTGTCTAGTGGGCCGGGCTAGACAAATCCAACCCACTAAATGCAAGTCAATCTCAATTCCAAGCAAGGCCCGGCCCAGTCCCCCTATGATTTTCTAATTAAACGAATATCTATCCTGATTTCCCAGGAAAAATATTAAGTTCGACACAACCTCCTTCCCACCTAGAACTCAGCCCTGCCTTACCTCTAATTGCGCGAGGGCGATCTTTTACCTAGTTGAAATGGATTGACCCGTTCATTTGACACTCGTAACCTCAAGGTGGTTATAGTGTTCTAATAAATTTTAGAGTTATAAAGTTGGAATATAGCCTGATGGACCTAGAATTTAGGTGGTTAGAATCCTTAATAATGAAAATTGAGAAGGAATAATCATGATTAACATTAATTAACGTTTTTAATCATGGCAACTCAAATTACCAACCTTTCGTGCACTTTTTTTCTATCTAATATAAATAATTAATATGCACATGCGAAGAACTATATTATTGGTGAACATTTTAATAATTTGCGCAATATAAAAGCATAATTATACATATTAGTGGAAGAAGAAGAAAAAATCATCTCTTGTCCATAATCTAAGGTAGCCATATATAGTGTTCCAAAAGTAATTATATATTGTAATCAAAACATGGAAATTATATGTGGTTAGAGTCCGCATTCAAGATTCGATTAAATTCAAATTACGAATTGCAAGGTCCATTTGGGGTGATGTTCTCTACAAGATTTTCTCCATATTTAAAATTCGAATCCAAAACCTCTGTAAAAGATAAAACAGTCTCACTATTGCACCACGATACATATTCATATGGTATGGAAATTACTTTTAATAAATTTTCCACTTGGTTTAATTTGGTGTTACGTAGAACTGTTTGCTACTATTTTCAGCTATATCTGAACGAGAAGAAAAAAAGAACAGGGAATTTAAATTGGACCGTTTCCAATAAATTTTTTTAAATAAAACAATCAAGACTGATAATTGGTGTCAGCTTACGATAACTATAACAATTATGTCTTAATCTCAAATTAGTTAGAATCAGCTATGCAAAAAATTTATGGTTCATGTCACTTTATTAACTATCCAAATAAATAACTCAGTTTATTCCAATTCATATTGTCATGAAATTTAAGAAAGAAAAATTCTTAGAGAGAATTAATAATAGTCGTACTTTATGTGACTATAGAAATATCTTATTAAAAATATCAAATTTAAATTAAATTATTTGTACATATAAAATATGTCTTTTTTTGAAGAAACAAATTAATAAAATTAATATCACATAAAAATAGTGACAAATGCTTAATTGTTTGAAGAAAAATCTTGAACATGGCGATATTTTTAGTGGTAGGGCCTTATAGAAACCAACTTTAGGGGAGACATATTGACTAGAAAATTAAAGTGAATAAAGATTTGTAAGAGTCTTTATAAGTCTCTTCATATATAGTTTCATACACTTCCACATGAGAAAGAATTGATATGGACTTCCAAATATAATTATTTTAGGTGAAGGTGTCAAAAGTATTTTCTTTTGTTAAACTTTATAGTTTCATCTTCTTTTAACTTCTTGTTATATTTTTATTTTGGACACTCTTTTTTCCCCTTTCAATATGAGAAAGTGGTTGGTGGTAAATAATTGGGAAAATACATTTAAAATTGTCATTTGCATACTTTAATTAATTTTATAGAAATAACTTAATAGTTAATTCCCTTTTATTTTTATTTGAAGTGAAACTAGATGTGTACGTAAAGTTAAAATGTGTAAGTAACTTTTTTGAACAAACTTTAGAATATAACTTATGTATGTTCCCTAAATAATTTAGGGTATCAACACCTTTCACTCTTTCTTAATTTATAAATCCAATTGCATTTTACTAAATGCCTTTCTTAAAAAAAAAAAAAACAACAACACAAAGGTGATTCCAAATGATCAAATAAAATTACTACCAAAACCGAAAATTCGTCAAGTTATAGTATTTGACGATTGTCTCACTTAAAAGTTTGTGTTATTAAAGAACATTTTGTTATATACTTAATTATGTCTTCGATACGATCCTTGACATGCATAGTCCCTCATTTCTACTCCAAAAAATAACAATTAAAATATC